AGCAAGCGAGTAACAGGTAATTAGCAAACTCATTAACAACTTGCGAAAACTGTTGCATGCGGCCCATAGTGCAAACCCCAGTGGCCCACCCACTGACACCGTGGATGGAGTGCAGTTCGAATGGCAAATGGTTCGCCCATTACGGCAAACGGAACTCCCGCCACCGTCGCCCAGCCCGGTCTGGGTTGACTTTGAATGCATTTGAATTGAATCCTCCGTAATGAACATTCTGTAATTTGCCTTTGACATGCAAGCATGAAAAAGCGTCACAACTTTTGCCTCTGCATGGCAGCCCCACATGTAATACAAATGTAAATCAGTTTGTCAAAAGCTCCCGCTCTCTCCCGCCCCGCTCGGGTTCAATATACCCGCTAGCGATAAGCCATAGTCGCCTTTGAAAATTATGCAATTCTAAAGCCGTTGCCCCCTTGACCCCGCCCCGCTGCCTGCCCGTTGCTATGGCTTTGGCGCTTATCTGCTCAGTGCACAGTTCATTTGCGAACAGCTGCTTTTAATCGCGATCGCCGCTTAAGCCTTGGTTCGAACCCCAGCAGCATGTCGCACGAAACGCAGATTCCTGATAACAAATTCAAGGCGCCAAAACGTATTATGCGTGCAACTTGCGACAACTAAACTGCAGCAACGTGTAACTTGAAGTGCTTGCTTTTAGAGAAGTTACAAGAACTTTTATGTAAGTGCCTTGTCCTCTAAGTTTAATGATCTTGAGTCGATCAAGTGGTGCATCTCTCTGACCACGTAGAGTAAAAGATTCTTTGAGCAATTCCATCTATTTCAATAATCAATTTTATTTTATAATTTTGATCAACAAATTATTTAAAATATAAAATTAAAATAAAAATTATGAAATTATTAAACTAAAATAAAATTAAGTTAAAATACAATTATTTAAATTATTAATTATTATTAAATTAAAATATATATATTTGATTAATTAAAATGATTAAATTAAAATTCAGTTTTTCAAATTATGGAACTAAAATAAAATGATTTAATTTATTAAATAAAAAAAATTAAATTAAATTATTAAATGAAAAAATTATTTAAGTTTGCATAAAAATTAAAATATTAAAAAAATGATTTTTTTTAAATAATTATTTAAAATAAATTTTTAAATATTAAATTTTTTAATATATTTAAAATAATTTTATGGCTGAAAATTGTTAAACTATAAAAGTGCCTATCGTATGTGGACAGCTGGAAGCGAGAAAACTGTCAGCTAACTATGTACATAAATTTAAAATTCCAGATATTTTATACATATTTAAGATTTATGCATTTAACATGATAAATTATACTCGAATCCTACAATAATTAGTAGCTGGAGTTGTAAAAGTGAATGTCAAAATTTTGACAGCTGGTAACGAAAAAACTGTTAGCTAAATTTATGTCTGACATTTTTAAGTATTTGTTTTAAGTAAAATTTATATTTATATATTTAGTATGAGTGATTATCCCGTAGTCACTCATTATAATCCCATGCTGAACAGATTGCCAAAAGACACCTGGATTCTATGATTGCCTGTCTATGCTAATCAATTTTGACCCAGGCTCTGGCCATTTCACAAATTTCACGTGAATTAGGCATGTCTGCAGATTGATTGCCACTCACTGCTATCACCTGTGATTTGTCCAACAAACACTTGAGGACGGAAGTCAATTGCCAGTGAATTGCTATGGAGGCATTACTTTTTGCGTTGCCATTGGCTGGAAATTAATTAAAATCGACTTGAGTAATTCAATTAACCAGTTTTCATAACTCGGTATTGGACAGTGGGCGTGGCAGTTGATGACATCATCATCATCATCATCATCGCATTGGGCAACGTCATTAATCTTATCAGCATTACAAGAACTTTTTCATTGCTGATAAGCCGCAAGGCGAAACAGAAAATCAAAGTCACAATATTTGTAATCGAATCCAAATCCGAATCCATAATCGAATTCAAATTCTCTTTGATGACGCATATGAGGCAACTGATTAAATATTAACTAAATTAATGCGGCAAATTGTCTATAATAAGGTCGTGACAAAGACAAAGTGCCATTTGCCTGAATACTGAGTAAGCGCATATGAATACGAATCGTGCCTTAGTGATAATTATGAATTTGTTACAAGTGAAGAAAAGGAAAAGAGAGAGATAGAACGAGAGAGAGGGAGAGACTTAGAGCGCAGTTAGAAAGAGACAGAGCATCAAGTAGCTGAATATTGATTTGAATGTCAAGGCAATAGTTTCATCCAGAAAATTTTGATGCTAATTTTTTATGACTTTTAAGCATATTAAAACTTAAAATCTTTTCATTTACTGATGCAATCGTCGATGACGCATTGCATCAGCCAATTATTTTCAAAATAGCAATTAAAATTATATTAAAATTATTTTAAAAAAATTTCGCTTAGAAACAGCATTCAAAAAGAAATTAAACACATGTTTTAAGATAATAAAAAGCTAATAAAAAAAAGTTAAAAATGATTTTGAATATTCGATTAGATTAGAGAACCTTAGAAATAGTTATGAAAAATAATATTTGATTTTTAAATAATTTGTGCCTATACTTAAGAGATTACACAAAGAATAATTTAGAAAATAGTAAAATAAGACTTGAAACAAGAGAAAACTGATTGATATAATTATAAAAATCAAAATATGAATATAATTAGCATAGGAAAAAAATTTATAAAATATTTTTAAAATTTTTTAGAGTATGAAAAAATGTTAAGTATTTTCAAAAATTCTCAAAAGAATTTAAAAAGTTTTAAAAATTTTGTAAGAAAAGAAAAGCTAAAAAGTTTTAAAATCTATATAATAATTTTAAATATTAGTTCTTTTTTATTATTTTTTTTAAATATCTAAATATTTTTCAATTTTCAATTTTTTAAAATTTAAGTTAAATTTAAAATTTGAAAATTTGAATAAAAAACAAATATTGATTGACTTAAATTCCAAGTAAAACTTCAAACTGTTTATTTAGTTATTCTCACTAAATAATCGAGTATCAATGTTTTGATGAACAACTTTGAGTCAGCTAAATGAAGTAACGAAATATATATTTCTAGAAACTTACAATGATTTACAATATATGTATATGTATCTCCCTGATCGCACGAAATCATTTGTCATTATCTTCTGGTCAACGAATTCAACGCTAATAAGTAAGCCAAATAAAAAATGCGCTTATCAGTTGATTGATAAGATATGGCTAGAGCAGCATTAGTTGGGTAATAAAACAATACCAATGCGAAGTTCTCGAATACATTTACTAATTTCGAGGTATACGGAGAAGATACGAACCTTGGCAACGCAACGCGAAGTGAAAGACGTGAAGCAATGCCAATGGGAGTCGAAGTAGGGACGGGCCTGGTTACTATTTACTTAGTATATGCGAACCAGGCAAACATATGTATGTATGTATGTATATATAGAAGACATATGTACACATCGTGTACTGTAGACTTTTGCTTGATAACAACTTTCGTCTGATTAGATTGCACAAACACACACACACACACACACACGAGTGCGAACTGAAGCCGACAACACAAATACGCCAAAAGACTTAATTAGGCTAACAAACAAGTCGAATTGCCAAATTGGGTCGTAATCTGAGCCAAAGTCAAGAAGGTATATGTGAGCCAAGAAGCGATAGGGGGGGCTAGCGCTTTCGAGGGGGGTGGCTCCAAGTGCTGCCTGTCCGTAACAGAAGCAGCGGCTCTTGAGTGTTTGCTTTGAACGTCTCAAGTAGGCGCTGAGCACTTGGACTTTGAACTGACCAGAGAGTACAAATAGATTATATATATATATATACATATGCTTGAATATATACTTGATGATATACGACTTGTAAGTTGTTGCCTAATGGCTCTTTTGTCCATATATGGAGTATCTAAATTGCCTCTGCGCTTCTTGTATTACGTTGCGACGCAACTACGTTGTGGCCTTCTTGTAATATTTTTATAGACTGTTAGTCATGAACTTTGTGTTCTACTGACTTTGATCTTTAAGTTCTAAGTACGTTGTGGACTTTACTGATTAGCTTTCAAGATGACAAAAGTCAGATATATACGAAAATAATCTCTATCTTTTATGATCTAACATATGTTCGAAAATCTTAAGAATCTTAATATTATATAAATAATGTTCATAGTTTGCTGCTTTGTTCTGGTTTCACAATTTCCCTTGTAACTTCTGCGCAGCAGAAAAAAGATAAGCACAGTGGCCCCGAAAGACTCCATGTAGGGGGTACGAGACCCCACCACACAAGGCCAACTCACTTGGCATTTAAAACGAATTAATGCACAAACAAACAGCCACAAGACGTAAACAACAAATTAAGCGAAGACCTGATAAGAGACAGCAAAGGCGAATCAATTCGAAAATCGAAATACATTCGACGATAGTTGGCGCACAGGTGATAAGAATATAAATCAAATTAAAACACAAAATTGTAAAAATAAATATTGAAAAGGCGTTAGCAACCTTTGACTTCTTTGTATATATTTTAACATATTTAATTTCAGTTTATATTAAATCAAATGAAAACTTCAACTTGAACTCCGTGGACCGTGTCAAAGCGTCAAGCTAATAAATAAATATCGAATTGCTTTCAGATATATATATATATATATATATATATATATAGGTATATATTTAATTTCAAGGACTGCCCAGTATTCAGTTTGAGTTTTAAATATTTAATGTCGAAATGTTAAAAAAGAAAACTAATAAATAAATATCTCCAAGTGTTTGTTTCACGAAAACAACATCGTAAATGCTGGAATTTTGTTTTGGAATAACCATTCGTAGTTAGTTGGTTATTTGCGCTAAGCGTTGGCAATCAATTAGCCATGCTTAATGCTTACTAACTAAAGGGGCTCTAGCACATTTTTATCTGAGTTCAATGTCTATTATTATTGTTTTGCTATTGTTGATCTACAATTCAAATGTTGCACTTGCTATTGAAGTCCAACGACTTTTGCTCACCTTTTCGAGACATTCTTGGCCGAGGGCCTTGGGATCCAATTTGACGGCCCGCTGGGTACCGTCTGGCAGGTCCACAATGCACCACATATTTGTCTTTTTGTAACTCCTTTTTTCGTCTTTTTGATCGAAATGAAAAGTAAAAGCGATTGGCTTTTCTGTCTCTCTCACTCTTTCTCTCGTTTTTCTGTTTTATTTTTTTGCGCTTCCGCGTTACGAAAACACAAAATTCAATTCAATTTCAAGTCCGTTAACGTACAAGGCGCCAGCTGCGCTGTTGACGTTAGCGTCGCAGTTGCCGTCGCTGCCGGAGCTACAGGTTGCGTTCGCCTTGGCTGTTAGCAAAGTTTGCTTTTTGCCCAGGGGGAAATCCAGCTTCTGTTCTTGTTCTGTTTTAATTACTTATTTATCTGTTTTGCTTCAAATGTTGCGCATTTAATTTGTTAAAATTATTTAACACATTGGAATTTAGCGAACATTTTGAGCGGCACCGCACGCCGACTTTTCACTTTTGTTTTATTTTCGCTTCCCTGTACCTTTGTACCAGTATATATATATATATATAATATATTTAAATCTTTTCGCTTTGTTTTTTTTTTGCTATTTTTGTAAAACACGATTTTTGAATTTTTTGTTTTGGCAGACGCCGTTCCCGCTGACGTTGTTTTCGATGCAGAGCTATTTGTTGATTTCCGTCCGTTCAACGCAAAGTTCCCGATACAATTGAATTCTAGTTGGAGGCGAAGCCAAGGCAACAGTATTTAAGAGGCAGCCAACGCTGTTAAGTTTAACAGACTGCGCTGCTCTTAAGCGCTGAAATGCTCAAATGAGCTGCTAACAGCTTTGTCCACTGTTAAACGTCAATTCGCACCTCTTGCTGCCCGCTCTTTTCATGTTAGCTGTGTGAGCTGTGTTAACAGTGCACCCACTCTCTCTCCCTCTCTTGTGATTAACACTGCTTTTGCTGCTGCTGTGGCTGCTTCTCTCTCTTCTTCTGCATGCTTGTACTCTCAGCTGCGGGGGAGTGGCAGCTGTTCGTTGTACCATTCCATTCAATTGCCCTGCACAGCTGTTGCTTTTGCTGTTGTACAGCTTCTCTTTTGTTATCTGATTTTCCACTCCATTGCCGCCAGCCCAAGTCATGCAGGTAAACTGTTTGAACTGCTCAACAGTTGAATTAGCAGTCGCTCGTTCGGCTCATTCTCTGTCTGTGCCTCTGTTTCGCATGTGAATACAAGGAATGCGCGCATGTGCAGCCCAGCTGCCTCGGTCCGCAATGCCATTAGGGCATTTGTCTTTTACGCATCTTTGTTTACTTCCGACCTGCACAATGCAAAAGATAATGAACTTCTTTCATTTAACACCAGGCAACTTAATGCGAAACTGGATACGTGTTTTTGTTTACTTTGACTAAGAAAGGCTAAGCAGTTGCAGTAGTGAGTAGAGGGATTAGTGTATATGTTGGTTATATATATGTTGTATATGTTGGTTATATAAGGTATGATATATAATATAGTAGGAACTATAATTAATAAATTAGCAAACTCGTTTTATTTTTACACTCAATTTTAAGTTTTGATAAAGTATCTGGCAGTTGAAAGCATGAGCAGATCTACAAAGTATATATATTAATGATGATTACCAAGTGTCCAATCTACATACTCCTATATGTCTGTCTTTCTGTCCATTTACATTTGTCTGTTTGCCTGTCTATAAGCTTCTTATACAAGGGATAATTTTTTTTTAATAAATATTTTTACTTGAAATTTATAAATATTGATAATAATTATAAATGGTTTGGGCATATCTAAGAAATTTTTATAGGCTTATAGGCTTTAAATGTTACAGATAACGATAACTTGGCTGAATGCTCAATATCTAAATCTCTTAAGATTAAAATAAGTTATAGAACACGTACGATATTATGTTATATTATAGATCCACAATCTTTGACATAATATCATATATATCAATAAGGAATATATATACTCCAAGAGTTAATAATTCTTTAGTGCATTAACGAATTTAGCAATATATGTGAATAATATGAACAATTGTGAGTTGGCACAGTTTCGCTTTGTCTATTGCTTTCGTGCTTCAATTAGTATTGATAACCACGTTTTTTATTCAAGTAAAATTGAAAAGTATTTATAATAACTAGAGCGCAATAATATAGAATTTATTGATGCGGGTATCTCACTCTTAATGGATCGAATGCAGTGGAGCTTTCGTAATCTTTCAGTGTGTGGCATTATTGCAATTTGACATACTTTGTCGACTGTCAGTTCTATTTCATATTTCATATTTCATTTTCTTTATTTTATTTGCGTTTTGCTCTTTAAAACCTTCGATTCTTAAGCCGCACTGTAGCAAGCGGCCCTGGCACAGTTTTAACAATCTGGCATTATTATTCCATTGACATGAAATGACCTCCGCTTACACGGGAGGTGCATTGTGCGACCCATTGAGGGTATTCCAAATCAATAATATCAATATGTAACGGCTCCGACAGCTTTCACAGAGCTTTTCTCAAATATCGTTGGTTCGTGCACAAAATAAGTGAAAGCTCCGCCCATGTAAACTTATTTGAAACCTGAAACTTTCAACTTTTTTAGAGGTAAATTTATAAAAGTAAATATATTATATATTATATTTAATATGTGTCATATATATATATATATATATATATATATATATATATATATATATATATATATATATATATATATATATACATTCTCATATATATATAAATATAGAAAATTGACTTGTTTCTGTATTACTCAAAAATAATTTAAATACATTAAAGCATGAATCAGCTTGGACTTTGAGCCTAAGAAATCAAAAATTATTTCCCAAAATGCATGCAAATAATTTAAAAAAAAAAAGTTTATAAATATATTTTTGATGACAGTAATATATATGTACGTTGCCTCATAACACAGATAAACAGCATTTGGAAACAAAGACTCCGAGTATATACACCTCAAAAAGGTTGTTAACGTGCTGAGTCCCAAAATGAAAACAGAATAATCTCAAGTTTATAGTAACGATAATTTGGTATAAAAATGTTTATGGAGTAGTAGATAAGTATATTCAAATCTAAAACTGTTTTTGTGTAAAGAAAAATTTGTTTTTAAAAACAGCTTTATAGGTAGTCGTATAATTTTAACTCATATAATTTTAACTTTTCTAGTGAGATTTTAGGGACGTAGAAAATGTTCGGAAAAGTTTGGCAACATTTTAATATTTGAACTATCGTTGAACTATGTTAAATACTTATCATCTGTATGAACTTAAAGAGAGAATATCTAAACTTATTTTCGAGTTTTAGCTTAAAACTTATAATCTTCAAGCTAAGCTTAAAAACAAATCTTTTTAATCGAATTTTATCATTGCGATCTATTAATAAAAATTTGAGCTTCTACTAGCTGGAATATAAGACAAAATATATAAATATAAAATATATATTTAACGTTTTTTAATAATTTTTAATACACAAAAAAGAGTCAGAATATAAAATAAACTAAAGCCTGATAAAATATATATATAATCCTGCAAGACACATAGCTAGCACTCTGTCAGCTTAATAATCTATTAATCTGTTTTGCGTTCTGAAGAGCTGAAGTCAAACTAAAAAGCTTCAAGGTCTATAAACTATAGAATTTTTGTAGAACAAACTTATATTTCTTATATATATATATATTCTATATATATACTTTTTCTATATATTATATTCTTTTGTATATTTTAATTCACGATACATGTACTCCATGATCTTTAGTTGGCGCAGACTATCAGGCATAACTCGAGAACTATGAAAACTAGAGAGGACAAAGTTGGCATTAAGATTCTCGTAAAGTAGTCCAAGAATATGAATATTTCGTTTTTTAAATATCTTTTGCATTTGCCTACTGTAGACTAAACTCTTCCTACATATTCTAATTAAAACAAAATATTTTTGTGCTACATATAAGTTCATAACTATTCCATACTATTGCTATCCTAAGTCTCACTTAAAAAAATATTTATATTCAATTCATATGCCAAATAGCTCCCATATATGCATACTCACAGAAGAACTCAAGAGTGGGAAAAACATAATGGAATTCCTACTTATTGCTGGCCATTGCTCTGTTGAGTGAGATCAAGGATTGCCACCGTCGATGTCGGTGATTCAAGGGTATTTATTAGAAAAGGCATTAACCTTCAGTGCAGACACATCAAAATATGATTAGATGATTTATATTGCGCTTATCAAGGTACGTGGGCGATTTGTTGAGACGCAAAAGCAATTGCAGACATCGTATCACACGTTCGATCCGGATTGCGGACCTCAAGTGGGACACGCATCCGCCTATTGGCTGTGCTGGTATAGATCGCCAGACAAGTCGAGAATATATATATGCATATGCAGACAGTTAGAAAGTAAATTGAACTTTCACTAAGCGCCATTAGATAAACTGCACGAGTGCCGCCTCGATCGAGACAGAATATATATTTCGGGTGATGAAATTACTCATGCGAAGCCAGACAAACAACAACGACTCGACCCCAGTCAACTCTGGCTGGTGATAAGCAGAAGCGGAGTAAACACTGTACATATAGAGGTATTTATAACCCCAGACGCGCCATAATAATAATAATAACACTCTAAACATATATATATATATATATATTTATATATATATAGATATAGCGTTTCCGTGTCTCGAACGTTGCTTGGCAACTAAACGACATCTCCCTCAATTGTTACACCTGCTCAGCGATGCCCATCCTTATTGATATATTTGACACAGATTTTTGATTTATTTTGTCTTTTTCTTTTTTTGTTTGTGATCTCCTGCCCCAACACAATTATTATTAGGCATATTATGTGAACAGGTGTTGAGTGAACTAATTAAAATGACGTGTCCATTAGCCCCGGCAACTTAATCTGCCTGCCGTTTATCAGTCGCTCAAAGTTCATTGTCAAGGGTGGCCAATGCATTGCCAGATTGTTATAAACAATTTTGTATTTGCTCTAATCAGAGCTCTGCCAGTGGAAGGGCTGCCCGGTTGGGCCCAATTATGATTTCCTAATCAGATCTATACTAAGTATACAACTTTATTATTATGCCGATTGCCGCGCTTCACCTGTTACACCTGCTCAGCTATGTGCCATACAAGGGGTCTTATCATATGCTCTCACCATGGAACTACAGCTAAATGGAAAAGTTATGGGAATTGATTGATAACCAACATGGGGTCTACACACCTGCATCTTAACTGTTTGTGACTCATATAGGTAGCTCTATTAGTAAGCTTATGAAATAGTCCATTGATAAACTTTATAACTTTGCGATGTTTTCTCAAACATCCTTCAAACCTTTTGTCTTTTAAAACTGCTGCAGTCGGGAGTTTTGACAAGAAGATACCCTGTCTATTGCTACATAATAAAATTTTATATCTTTTAAAACGGGTTTTTTGTTTCCTGGATTTTGAAGTCGCAAAAAGTATCCAAAATATGACAGCGAAACTTATTTGTACTTTAACATAATCAATATAATAAAAATAAAAATAAAAATAAACTCAGAAAGTATTGAATATATATCAGATATTGAAGCGATTTCATGATTACTTGACATAAACTTGGGCAGCGTGTGATATGGCAGCTAGCTAGAGAGACGAAAAAGGCAATATTGACTTGATTTTTGATTATATATATTAAGTATTTCCACCTTCTGCTTGTTACATAGATACCATAGCTTTGTAGCCTAAATAGACCTTTTTCATGGCATCGAGTTCGAGATCAAGAACAAAAAAGAGAACAATTAATCTTATCAGATGGCACGTGGAAACCTTGTAGTTAAATGCTATGTCAGCTATGTATAGAATGGAATAAAATAGAATTAAATCGAATGAAATAACCTCTGTATTCCCTGTCTCCCTCTCTCTCTCTCTCGCTTGCCTTTCTATCTCTAAAAACCTCTAAAAATATAAATAGAAATAGAAATAGAAAAATATTTCCCTTTCTCTGCCCCTCTTCTTTTTCGCTTTCGCTTCCCTTACGCTCTCCCCACCTCTATGTCTTTAATTTTCTCTCATTTTCCCTCTCTTTCGCTTTGTCTCTCTCTTTCTTATTTTCTCTCTCTCTTTCTCTTTTTTTTTCTCTCTCTCTTTCTCTTTTTCTCTCTCAGTTTATTTCTCTCTCTCTTTCTCTCTTTCTCCCTCTCTCTGTCTCACTTTTTCTCTCTCTTCTTTTCTCTCTCTCTCTCTCTCTCTCTCTGTCTCTCGTTCTCTCCGTCTCCCTCACTCCGTCTCATTTTCTCTCTCTTCTCTCTATATATCCCTTTATCTCTCTTTCTCTCTCTGTCTCTCTCTCTGTCTCTCTCTCTGTCTCACTTTCTCTCTCTTCTTCTCTCTCCCTCTCTCTCTCGTTCTCTCCGTCTCCCTCTCTCGATCTCATTTTCTCTCTTCTCTCTCTATATATCCCTTTATCTCTCTTTCTCTCACTTTCTCTCTCTTTCTCTTTCTCTCTCTGTGTCTCTCTATCTCTCTCTCTCTCTTTCTCTCTTTCTCTCTCTGTCTTGATGGAAAGACCAACTATATCTATCTATTTTCTACATCTATTTTTGTGCATGTTACCCATCTCCCCCAGCTCTCTCTCTTTTCCTCCCTCCCTCCTCCCTCTCTCCCACCCCCACCCCCTCCCTCTCTCATCATAGTATTTATTATTTATACTTTCAATTTTTGTTATTTATGAATTAACACATTTCTGAGGTCTTCGCCTAGCCTAGCCTAACAAGTTTTGCAGCCTAGAAGCGATTTGCATTGCTGATTACCCGATTCCCCTGCTCATCCCCTAATTAGCTGTCACAGCGATAAGCAGCTTTACTAAGTAAACATCTGATAAGGCGAATATAGGTTTAGTCTTGTCAAAATTATTTAATTAGGGAATCTCTTATGGCAGTTCCGAAGACTTAGCTTATATATTATAGCACACGTTGAATGGGTGTCTAGCTGAGCTTTAGCTCGAGTGCGTAGTTAGAATGAAATGAAGTATGGATGATTGAGACAAGATGATTAACTTATCAGCACCGTAATAGGTAGTACACACAACACATTGTTTGTTTGTCCTAGGCAGTATTGAAAGTGGGTCTTCAAATCTACATGAATATCACTCTATATATACGCATATATATGAATAGATGTGGGTATATAAAAATAGATGCGAAAGGCCTTAGGCAAGTGACGGGATTTTATTGGCGATAATGCTTATATGAACTCTACGACTATACTTTCTATGGAATTTGGACCTGATTTTAACAGGCGACGAGCTTGACTCCGTCTGTAATTTCCTTATTTAACTGCACAATCAAAGAATCAAGACGCTCTTCCTCGTCCTCATCCAGTGGAGGCAGCTCAAGATTTTTCTTAATTCCCGCTGGTCCCAGCAGCACGGGCGAGGCAAAGAACTCCGCCTCGGAGAGAGTCGACTGCACATAGGCGCACTCGATGATGTCCTCCTCATTGTTGATGGCCCGCAGCAGAGAGTTGACGAACCGAGACGCTGAATAAGCCATCGACAAAGTGGCGGACCCCTTGCCCGCCTTCGCCTTGACCACCTCGGTGCCCGCTTCCTGTATGCGACTGACCAGCTCCGCTTTCTTGTCAGCGTCGAGCCGCAGTTCGGGCTCGCACTGCGATAGCAGCGGCAGAATAGTCTGCCCGGCGTGACCACCAATCACTGGAACACGCACTGTGTCTGGATCCACGTTCAGCAGCGCGCCAATGAAGGTCTTGGCACGCACCACATCCAGGGTGGTTACGCCGAAGAGACGCTTCGGATCGTACGCATCCTCCTGCTTGAGCACCTCGGCAACGATCGGCACAATGGCGTTCACGGGATTCGTGATAAAGGCCAGCAGCGCCGAGGGGCACACATTGCTAACGGCTCTCGCCACCGTTGACGCCACATTGGCGTTCACGTCCAGCAGCTCGCTGCGATCCATGCCCGGCTTGCGCGGCATTCCTGCCGGCACCACAACAATCGAAGCACTCTCCAGTGCGCAGACCAGCTCCGTGTCGCCGTTAAAGGCGCGCACTGTGCTGGCCGTGCAGATGTGTGAGAGATCGGCAGCAATGCCCTTCGTGTCGGATTTGTCGTGCAGCGATAGCTCTGTGATGAGCGGATTCAGCTTCAGCAGCAGCGACAGCGGCTGCCCTATGCCCCCAGCAGCCCCGACAACGGCCACCTTGACGCCACGCGTGATGCTGAGATTCCATGAGCTCAGCTCCTGCTGGCTGCTCCGCGACACTGCGGGAATATGTTTCAGCAACTTAAGGGTCAGCATTACGGCTACGAATGTTTCAAAATTGAGTTTCCTTATGAGATGAGTGAAATGCCGAGATTGTGTTACTCAGGCAATTCTTAAATACAAATTTTAAGGCAATTGACATAAGGAAACATATAAATAATATATATATATATATAATATATAATATATAATATATAATATATAATATATAATATATAATATATAATATATAATATATAATATATAATATAATAATAATATAATATATAATATATTCAATAATAAGTTAATGGATTTCCAAAGTTTTTGTATTTATTAAATGGGTTTTTCAAAAACCTTTGCTACCTTCACAGGCGATCAGAGGCTGATAAACAGCGCACACGACTTTGCTATTTGCAATGAGATTATTTCAGTTTTTTTTGGGAGTCTAACGACAAGTTTTGCAAAATCAGAAATATATTCACTATCTCTATGAAAGAGAGGTGCAAACTTTTTGTCTTTAGCTTTTAAGGTTTTCTGTGTCGATCTTATGAATAAATATAGAAAGTAATTTAAGCTTGAATTTATACTGCTAAGTTTGAAGTTTCTTATATTTTTTGTTTATAAATTTTAAATTTCAAGTCTCTAGTTTATGTGATTGCCGAGATAAGTCCATTCATAGGATCAGAGATTGCACTATTGATCGTTATCAATATATACCCTATAAAGTCGTTCTTTAACTTCCTCGGCTACCCATCTCCCTCTCTTCCTCTACCTCTTTCACTCTCTTCCTGTGCCTTCCCGAAATAGCCTGATCTATAAAATCCATAGCTAAATCTATATTCAAAGTCTTAGAGCTGTTGACTTTTTCTTTTAATTTAACTTAAATTATGCAAATATGCCTCTTGGGGCATAACTTCTAAAAGCCTGAAACCAAACCACCAAAACTAAACACTCAAGTTACTTCCTCTTCAGTCTAGCCAAAACACATTCAACTACGTTAATCTATTTATCTATTTAATCTTAAGCAAAAAATATATTTTTTGAACTCACAATTATTTGACAGATGAACTGGACTACAAACTATCGAATCAAATAATAAATGTTCTATATTTCAACAGCACAAACTCAAGCGCTTCAGCTTGTAATTCTCAACTGGTTTGGGCGCTTGAATATTGCATATTCGGGAAACTAAAAGATGTAACTGCTTCAGCAATAAATTTAAAATATGATCCAAACTAATTGAACAATTTTACTATGAATTTGCGATAAAGATCTGAATAATTAGTGCGATTTCCTGGGATTTGCTTTGGGGCAATCAATTTTAATTAGCCTAATGAAAGGTCTTGCGGCCCAGTTACAGTTGGAAAGTAAACAGAATCTATTGCGAAGTCGAGTTTGTGACGCATATTTAGAGGGAATTTTGTTTTTCTGCTTTTGATTATATAATCGTGTTTTATTGACATAGTTGCAATTGGGTTCGATTACTGAATTAATTGATTTAATGAATGCAGGGAATACGTCCAGTGAGATCATTTAGGAATAGATTCGGAAAATATTTTGGGGAAGCACGACAAACACGACAAATTGAACGCATTGCACGGATCGGCTGGGGAATTGCATCATGGAAACTCTGACATGGATTCCCCTTGGAGCTGCCAGCAGTATAATCAGTAGTCGCCTATGCAAGCACTTATCAGCAACATGACGATGTTTCACCAATTGACTGCGACGACCCCAACCTAGCATACTAGTTTCACATACATGTAGTATGCATATGTGCATGTATATATATAGTGTTCGTAATTTAATTTAATGAATGAGGAACTGCGTCAAGATGCCGCCTCTTGATTAGCCGTTAGTCGCGAGTTGCGCTTCCTAGTTTTTCTACGCTAATTGCGCAGAAGCGGAACTGGCGCTTGCAGTCGCTTCGCCTTGGGCCCGGCCCACGTTGGACTCCTTGAGCACAAACTGTGCCAAGCGTATGGCCGCCTGAATGCTCTGTCCCAGCTCGGGCAGCATGTTCTCGAGCGCAGCCTGCTCGGCCGTATTCAGCTCGGGCAGACCCATATTCTCCTTGATGCCATAGGGACCCAACAGCACCGGCGTGGCAAAGAATGGCAGGTCGGTGACATCGGAGCTCACGTAGGCGCTTTCGATCACATTCGGCTCGTTGTTCAGGCCACGCAGCAGAGCATTGACGAAATAGGCCGATGCGAAGGCCATTGAGAGGGTAGCAGAGCCTGCGCCAGCCTTCGCCGCGATCACCTCGTTGCCCGCATCCTGAATGCGTTTTGTCAGGCGATTCACGTCGTCCTCGACGCCCGTAAATTTAGGTGAGCAATGTGAGAAGACAGGCAGTATGGTGTTGCCGGAATGGCCACCGATGACTGGTATGTCCACCAGGGATGGATTAATGCTCATGAATTCCGCAATGAATGTCTTGGCACGCACCACGTCCAGAGTTGTGACGCCGAACAGACGTTTCGGATCGTAGACACCTCTGGCCTTCAAAAACTCCGCTGCAATGGGCACTAACATGTTGATGGGATTTGTGACGAAGGCGAGCATGGCCTCAGGGCAGGAGATGCTCATGGCACAGGACACAGCCATTGCTATAGTGGCATTAGCTGTCACCAGGTCATCACGTGTCATGCCCATCTTCCGGGGCTGCCCAGCAGCTACGACGACCACATTTGCATCTTTCAGTGAATCAATAAGTCCTTCCTGCTTCACTCCCTCGAAGAAGTTGACATGTGTGCGGGTGCAAATGTGTGAGAGGTCAGTGGCCACCCCCTTTGTTGGGGATAAATCGTGAAGGGTCAGATCGTCGATCAACGCGTTCTGTTTGAGCAGCAACGACAATGGCTGGCCGATCCCACCTCCAGCGCCCACGACGGTCACCTTATAGTTGCGCTCGCCACGCCCATTGCGGTACCAGTTGCAATTTCTCTGCACAGCAATTCCAGACATTTGAGCCTTGGTGGCTACCCTCATGCCAGCGTAAACACAGTTCAGCATTTTTTTATATTACAATTTTAATTTATTTTAAACAAACTAATTTTCTGATTTTCTGGCACAATTTTACAATTATCAGAGATGAATATGTTGTGAAATGTTGTCACGTCTCCCATTTCTCGTTAGGTATTATCAAGGAGCCGTTGTAAAACCTGTCAGTAGTAGCAAAAGCATAACTACCCTGTAAGTATGTAAGAGCTGTGTATGTTAGTTTATATATATATTTATATGTGTTTGCCTGTGAATAATAAAAAGTGGACATACATTTTAAATATATGTGTACATCGTCAATATTACAAGTTAATATTATGCATGGTAAATTAGTATCAATTCTTGTGTTAAAGTTACTGGAGCCAACAAAGCTACCTCAGCATATCCTTTATTTTTGTAAAGTCATCGTTGAATACAGTAATTCTACTTTATTTATGTAGCATTCACACACACGAACACAGAATGTGAACAAGCGTATACATGTGTGCTTTCATGCGCGACAGCTAACGAATTTCACAATTACTATTTCTATTAAGGATCACGTAAGTTAAAGCGAGATGACCACATTAACATGCGTCGAAATGGATATTGAAAGCTTTAACACCGTCTGCTTTATGTGCATATGCATGCATAATAATTTGCTTGTTAGCAATGCCGATGTTGTTTATTTTTATACCCTGATCCCATTAAAAATGGGAAATCAGGGTATAATGGTTTTGTGCAAATGTATGTAACAGGCAGAAGGAGGCGTGGCAGACCCCATAAAGTATATATATTCTTGATCAGGACGACAAGCCGAGTCGATTGAGCCCTGTCCGTCTGTCTGTCTGTCCGTCTGTCCGTCTGTCCGTCTGTCCGTCTGTCCGTCTGTCCGTCTGTCCGTATGTGTGAACGCGTGGATCTCAGCATCTATAAGAGCTAGAGACTTGAAATTTTTTTTGTAGGTCCGTGTATAGCACGCGCAGGTCAAGTTTGTTTCAAATATTCGATAACTATTCGCATTTAATTGTTATCGAATAAAAACATTATTGAAATGCAGTAAATAAATTATATCTCGAACGTCTTAAGAGCTAGAGCCTCCAAATTTTGTATTTAGTGTTATGTATATTTTATGCAATTTTGATTTTTGTTGGATTTTGGATACCGGCTCCAAATTCCCCCAAATTCTTAGAATTTAAGTTTAGTTGGAACTAGGGCCATTATGTGAAGGCGTTTGCATCTCAACCAAGCCAATAGGATATGTAGATCATATGCTGAAAATTTCATTAAAATCCATTAAGTAAAACAGAAGTTATTAAACAAAACGTTTGGCCAATTTGCAAAAGCACATGTCAGCAGCGCCACGCGCACGCATTTTTCCTATGCGTGTGCACACATACATTCAAATGCGTGTATACTTTTCTATTCCAAGAATTGAAATTGCGATTGAATTGTGCTGAATTATTAGCTGCTACTTATGTTCAAATTTGCAACAGCTCGCGTAAGAAGGGCAGTGGCTGCGTTGGTAGAGGCACCTCTCGGATGCAGCTTGGTCCGGGTTCGAGACCAGAGGAGATGAAATGTTTTTTATTGTTTTATATTATTTATTTATTTTTTTTTTTTAGTTATGAAGTGGCGGTGTTGGTAGAGTTTGTGCACGTTGCGCAAATAATCCGGGTTCGAATCCTGGTCTCGCAATGTCGATTTTTATTTGTTTTCTTTTTTTTTTAATACTCGATACAAACTACGGAAAATATTACAAAACTCAAAGGACTGGGATCAGGGTATCTCCTAGTCGGGCACCCCGACTAGAGCTTTCTTACTTGTTTCATTTTGAATTGGCTTCTTTGATCTTTTCAACCAACAAGATGCAGCGTCGTATAGAAAGCAATTGATAATTATATAATTGTTTTGCATGAAAATAACTGTTTAATTAATATTATATTATCTAATTGAATGTGAAATTAAAACAATTTAAAATTTAATTTTGTATTTGTTTGAAGCAATGTATATTATTAAAACGGTATAATATAGGGTATGTCGCAGTCTATATACTTACTCCAGTTTTAATTTGTTTCCTTTTGTAAATCACATTTTCTTGGTCATTCACATGAACTGCAACCTAAAGAGAGAGCGAGAGAGAGAAGCAGGGAGAATGAGAGAGAGAGTAAGAGAACGGGGAGAGTAAGCAGGCGTGCCTTAATCTCAGTGTTTGAATGCGATCTATGCAACCGACCAATGCCCGATGTCGATGCTCCCGAATGGAGCCGATATTGTTGCCGAAGCACTGTTTCAAGGCATCGTGGGTGCGATGTTTGATGATATAAAACGTTAGGCGCTGTCAATGGCGACTTCCAGTTGCTGCCGGCTCTGCCATCGATGCGCATAGCAATAAAATAATAAGAACAAATCAACTCCACGTCTAGTAGTCAAACGTTCCCATTTAGTATTAGAACGCCAACAGAATGGTTCAAAAAGTGAGTATATTAACGATTCGGCTACTACAGACTGTGCGATGCTCTGCATAGAGATTGTTTTGAGTGTGATAAGAACGCAACTGTTTCGAGTTGCCCAACTGTAACCCTAATGATAAGAATTTCGCGACATATGTAATCAGCGCTCATGGGGAGCATACAACTAATATACCTCCTTCTGTACACGAAACTCTTTCCATAAAAGTCAAAGATCGGTTCTGCAAACCTAATGCAAGTGTTGTGTGTTTCAAAAGCTACATATGAGATATATATGTATGCTTTATTAAAGAAACAATGATAATCGTATATTCTAGACAATTTTTAATCAACACATTCAAATATATGTGTTCGAGAATACATTAATATATATGAAAAAATGTTAATTAAAATATAAATGATTAAAATACTAATTATAATTTCTGACAAATAAGAAAAGTGAAAAGTAAAAAACAAGAATTTTAAAACATATTAAACCGTCATGCGGGATTGCTCGATGAACTTGACCTTATAATCCTCCATTCGACTCCTTAATTCCCCAATTGTGGCTTATTTAGGGAACTCTTCTATTGAGGATTCCGTTTAGTGTTTCTCGTTTGAGCTTGTTTAATGAAATTCAACCTGTGCATGCTCTTAATTGTCGAACTAACTAGAACCAGATAGAATTGCCTGTCAACACTTTATACATATTTCATAATTCAAATTCATAACTAAATAGGGTCAACGGCTGCGACATGCACCAAATTTTCTAACCGCATCACATGATCGGTCGTCGCATTCTGTTTTTATTGCCAGCGGCTAATGGTTAATCAAGTGCTTTACTCTGATTTTCAGAGATTCGAAAACAAGCTGCTGTCGCTGCTGCTGCTGATCGCGTGCCTCTCCATCTGCCACTGCAGACCCTCGGAAGATGCGACAAACCTGTCAAAGGTGGACCCCAGCGAGTATCCAGGGAATCTGCCACCAGAGACCATACTGAAGGTGCAGCAGTGCGAAAAGGACCAGGCCACCATGGAGCTATGCATGCGCTGCGCCAAGATCACCAAATCGGAGATCATCTATCCCATGTGCTGCAACAACGATGACGACATCAAGGTCTGGTGCCACGAATACGTCTACTATAACAACGAAGAAGGCTATTGAGGGAGGAAAGGGTTTTGGTTCTAATGGCCCAGGTCTGGTGATCAGGTATCACCTATATATCACCTAGCATACTTACTTGCCCAAATCCATTTGAAATTCCTTGCATACCGCTATCAATGCGGGTCTATTGGCTGTGATATTTAAGGCAATATTAAAGTTTATACTTACCCAAACTATTTTGTAACTAGAAATAAACAAACTATGCGACGATGTGCATAAGACAACTACAAAAATTACTTGTTTTTATGACTACATATTGATATTATATATATTATAAAAATTTAAATTTTTGGAACAATATTTTTTAACAATTGTATCTCAAAGGGCCTCAGATTTCTGCATATGTAGTTTTATGAAATTTATATTTATATAAACTGGGCGGAAAATGTTTTCGTTTTATATTTTTTAATAATACCCATTATCATTTCTACAATTTATCAACTTTACAGTCTACATTGAACATTTTCCAATTATATTAATATTTATTTGATTTTCTTTGTACTGGCATATTATGAGTATATTAATACATTATAATAATAAAAATGATCGTAGTAATAGTTCTTTTTTTATGTCAAATAGCTAAAATTAGAGTCAATTTGTTGCGTTCTGCATATATATAAACTAGACTCGTAGCTCTGCTATATAATTAATGAAATCAAATAACATATAACAAGCTAGACCTGACACATGACTGTCATCCCGTGATCGCTCTCATGTGCTCCATCTTCTTCTGATTCTTATGACTGAGTCATTTATCCCATCATTCAATTACAAGCAAGTGAAAGTTTGGGAAAACAAATTCGATCTAAACGCCTTCAATATAGATCTTATACTCTCACATGACTATCGTCCCGTGATCGCTCTCATGTGCGCCTAAAACACGATGAATATCATCTGATTCTTATGAGCGAGGCATTTATCCTATCAAGCAAATGTCAACGTCGTTTAGCGCGCAAGAATTTATGATCCCAGCCCTTTTTAGGCGTCGCATTAAAATACACTTGAAAAAAATTGTTCTTATATATTTTTTATTTGTGTAAAATTTCTTTTTAATATTTTTCAAAAACTTTATAATGATTACAAATGTACTCTCTTTAAATGAATATTTAAAATCGAATTGAAATCATAATTGAGTTGCCCTTTCGAACAGTTGGAGAAAAAGCATAAATAAAATGTTATTAGGTATGTACATCGGTTAGGCAAAACATACATATATACACACATATGTTTATATATATATATTTATATATATATATATATATATATATATATATATTTGTGGGAATCCGAATTAGCTTAACGACAAATACTATATTACAGTTCATGCTGTTGTTGATCTTTTTTGGTTTTTTTTTTTAATTTTTTTTTGTTTTAAGGTTTTCTTTTCATATGGCAAAAAAAAAATGCACAATCCGTTCGAACGGCTTTTAAAGCGGCCTGCCCGACTTGATCGAACTTGCACTAGTTTACAACACCACGTGATTTGCAACTGTACGACATACAAATGTATATAACAAACAATGTTTCAACAACTATATATATATATATATATATATATATATATAAATATCATATATATATATATATAGCCACTTGATCGACTCCTATGCGCTCGTTTCATTTTAATCAAACAATTTGGTTCAGTCTATTTTTTGTTTGACAAACTTTGTTGTTGTTGTTGTAGTACTGGTTGTTGTTGTTGTACTAGTTGTTGTTGTTATTACTGCTGTTGTTGTAGTACTAGTTGTTGTAGCTGTGTCTCTCGTTGACTGAAAGCAACATTTAAATATAAAGTCGCGTGAAGAGTTCAACTTACCAGAATTCAAGCACGCTATTTAGAATGTTATTTGATTATTTAGTTTTTTTACAACAATGTTTTTTTTTGTCACTGCTTTAAGGCGGCGGCGACGGTAGCCGCTGGCGGCGAGGCACGTGCCAAATGCAGATAGGAACAGTCGGCGTCTTCGCAGCGACCCATCAGCTCAAAGGGACAGATGGTGGCATTGACGTTCAGCTGGCTGAAATCATTAGCAGAGGCAATCAAATGGATTTGGCAGACGAGCACTTCCGAGGATTCACACACCTGTTGTAGTTGCGCGACATGGGCGTGCGATACTCGCTAAGGAGCGACGGCTTCACGGGCGGCTCATGCAGCTGGCGCATAAAGCTGACCACGTGGGGCGGCGCGTTTCGGCCTTCGATAGGATCCGGTGCTACGCCTCCTGGTGCAATCTGCAAATAAACTCAACCTATTTGTTAGTATGGGTTAGCACAGTTAGCGGTTACAAACAGTTTGCAGATTGAGACAAGTTCTTAAAATAATGTTTTGGAAGCAATAGGAGAATATCTTAAATCCACGCACATCAAAGTCCAGCTGTGTCGCTAGAGTCGTCGTTGCCTCCCCTGCTGGCTCATCCGGTGCAGCTAACGCTGGCTGTGCCTGTGCCTCTGACTCAGCGTCGGTTTTCTGTTCCTCCAGTTCAGTCCTCGGCTGACTATTGACGCTGAGAGGAGGCTGCTCGCACGGATTCTTCTGACTAGTTACAGACGCAAGTTGAGCCACTGACGACTCCGAGCTTGGCTGGGCCTGCGCTTCTCCCTTGCGTACATCGTCGTATTTGACAATCGAATTGTATAAGCGAATCTCTTTGGTTAGCTCCATGGACTTGCGGGTTATTTCTGCCTTGGCCGGATCCAGCAACCTGCAAATAAGATCATCTATAGCACAACTGCAATGTATTGGAATTGCCGCGTCCGTTTTGGCAGATTCCGGCGATCCCACGACATATGTTGGCCCCTTTTGCGTTGTGGTCCACAGCAACTACTGCTACTGATGTTGCTGTCGTAGTTGTTGTTGTTGTTGTAGTACCTGTAGTCGGCGCCCAGAAGGCCATTGCCCAGGTCCATGGCGGCGTTGCGAAGCTTGTTGCGCTTCTGCTTAAGCGATATAATAATCTCGTGACTGGCCTGTATCTCAGGCTGTATGCGCGCCAGCTTCGACTCCTCCTGCTTGACCGCCAGCTTGACGGCTTGCACCTCGGCGAACAGGTCTTTCAGGCGTTGCGAGTGCCGCAACCGTTCGATCTTTGACCTCTTCGCCTCCGCCACCATATGCAGCGATTTGTCCAGATTGGCTATCATGCTGCCCCTGGCAATAGTACCAAATGTAAGTAATTTAGCAATGAGCCATGCCTACGCATAAATACCCGATCTTTTGAAATGAACTCTCGAATGCCTTGAGTCGACTCTCCTTCGATGGCTGCGCTGCCTTGACTGCTGCTGCCGTTGACGTGCTTGGCAAATCGCTGGCCATCGCAGCCGGAGCGCTGACTGTCGCCTTCTTGAGCGGTTTGCTGGGAGTTGTAGTGCCTGGTTTCGTCGTGGCAGCTACTGAAATATTATCCCTGACATCATTGGAAGACTCTTTGGCCACAGCAACGCCTGTCGCTTGGCCATTGGCCGCCTTAACGACTCCGATCTTCTTCTTCTCCAGCAGCTGCATGCGCTCAATTAGACGCAGATATTCCCTTTGCGATGCCACCGGCAAGTGCCGCACAGCCTAAGCAGGGCACAACAAACAGTTAGCTATGAACGGTATATATAAAGCTAATACTATATCATGCGGGCTGCAGCTTCTTAGAGGCGTCGCAGCGTGGAATTAGCTTGACGAGTTCAAACTTTAATGACAAATTTAGTAAAAGAAACATGTTTTATGCTCATCTATACTACTTGAAGCTGGTTCTAACTGAGCTAGCACAAGGTCAGCATGGACCGACCATTCAAATTAATCATCATTCGCCCCAAAGAGCGCTCGCTTATGCGTTCGAGCTATAAAACAAATTGATCAATTCTTATTTCATTGTCGAAAATGACGAGGCTCAGGTGCAGGGCTCATAAAAAGCAAGCCCAAAGGCTCGCAGTCAATGCTGAAAGATTGCATTAGACTTGGACAGTCGAAGGCTTTATCTGATTATGGCTTGGAAATCGATTCCAGACTCTGCAAAAGCAGCTTGAACAACTGGGAATCTCCTCCACTTATCCAGCACCAATCTAATCATGATCTGAATTGATGCTGCGCGCCTCTCGAGCTACTAATCCAATGACTTTTGCATACATACCACAGGCGTTGGCTTGGCTTTTTGTGGTATCACAGGCGTTTGTTCGGCGATTTTGTTGGTTTGCTCGGAAGACTTTTCGGTCTTTGTTGTTGCTTTGGCGCTGGACTCCGTGGGCAGAGCTGTGGGCACTTTGGAACGCGCCTGCTTTAGAAAGTCGTCCAGTTTCTTCTCAAAGTACTCGTTGATCACAGTGCGCCGCAAATTGGAGTTGCTGGATGCAGCCGATTCAACGATCTCCGAGTTTGGCGTGTTTGAGCGAGTTGTGGAGCTGCTGGCACTGTCCATGGCCTGGCTGAAGGGACTCGCATAGCTGCTGTAGGCGTAGCAGCTTCTCAGCTCCAGTTCATCATCGCTGCCAGCCGAAGAGTCGGCCAGGGCGATGACAAGCCTGTTCACCTTGATGCTAGCCGGATCGAGTGTAGTTATCAGGCGCGTGGTGCTGCTGCTGTTCTTGCTATGCAGCGGCGCCACGGACTCCTTCACCAGCAATGTTGATGGACGTTTGGGAGCTGTCGCTTGCTCGACCAACTTCGACAGCTTACGCTTGGGCGCAGTCTTCTTGTTGATTACCTTATTGGGCTTTACGATCTTGATTATGCTCGTCGATGGGATGGTTGAAGGGATGGATTTGATGGGCGTTTGCACAGTTGCAACTTCCACAGTTCCTTGTGGAGTAGGCTCGGGCTCCTTGGGTGCAGGTGCAGGCGCAGGCAAGGGTGAGGGCACGGGCAAGGGCGAGGGCAAGGGCAAGGACATAGGGCTAGGTTCTTGCTTAGATTGTGGACACACAGCCACAGGCTGCAGATTAGCATCAGTTTGAGGAGCTGGCTCGAATGGCACATCCGTTTGACTTTCATCCGGCGAAGACTGCAAAGAGGACGTTTGGAAGCGACGCACTGCATTCTTGAGAATCTCTGGACTTTCGGTCGTCCTGGTCGTCTGCTTCTTTTTGGATGCAATGCTAGAGAGCAACAGCTGACGCAGCTCCTCTGGATCATCGGAATCGTGTGCCACGCCCTCATTGGCAACAGCAGCTGGCAGATGCAACTTGTTAGGGACAATCATGGGATCCTCGGCGGGCTTCAGCTTGGACAGCAGCATGGCACGCAAAGCGCCCGCCTCGTCGTCGCTGGATTCCTGCTGGAATGGACGCGAAGTCTGCGTTTGCGTCTGTGAATTGTCCATGGATATGGATTGGATGTCGCTGAGGCAGCCCTGCTGCGAGTGCCGCTCGCTCAAATGCAGAGCATCCCTGGCATCATCGTCCTCCAGCTGCATGTGCGGAATGTGAAATGAGGGCGGCGGCTGTGGCCCCCCGTCGTCTTCGTCGTCGAACTGCTTCTGCTTGGCCAGCACTGGCTGCAGCTCCTCCTCGTCATCGTCATCGATCACAATGGGCATGGCAACGGGCGGCAAGGGGCTTGGCATAAAGCAACGCCAACTGCCGCCGGCGCTATCAATCGTCGACTGCCAGTTGTGGTTCCACTGTTGTCTGTCCTCGTCGCTGTCCGTCTGCGCCAGCTCCATGTCCACGGGCTCCGCAAAGCGTGACTGTGGCGGGCTGTACGTATTGCGTTCCGGCGAAGCCGCCGGACTTATCTCCATGAGATCATCGATATCATCACACTCATTGTTGGTGGTTGGCTGATGCACCCGATTGATCATATCGGTGGGTGAGTAGGCGCGCTCCGCATCGCGTTTCTTCCGGGCCATATGCTTCTTTAATATGGCCGACTTGAGGGCAATGAGCCGCAACTTGAGCTCCGGAGGCTCCTCGAGTGGCTCCTGCTGCTGCGACTGCTGTTGTTGCTCTTCTTCTTCCTCCTCCCTTACGTTGCGATGCTGACTATAGCCATCAAAGGAGTTTGGCGGCAATTGATCTTGCGCCTTAAGCTGACTATCGACTTGATTTCGACTAGGACTGGGTGACTTGTGCATGCGGTACTGAAGCCGCTCCCTGAGACTGTGCTTGGGCTTGATGTCACAGTTGCCGTCACGAGCCAGCGCCACGCGCAGCTTGTTGCGGCTAACTTTCAGCCGGTCCTCGTTATCATCATTCTCGGTCTCCACATTCATGTCATACTCACAGATTTCATCCTCCGTGACACTGTCCAGCGAATCCAGCAAAATTGTAGACGGCTGATTGTGATGCGCCTGCGTCTGTGACTGTGACTGTGACTGCGACTGTGACTGGGGTTGTGATTGGGTTTGGGACTGTTGGCAATATTGATTGTTGTGGTGCTCGTGACGTCTTTTTCGACGAACGTGCTGTGCGTGGGTGCGATTCGCAAACGGATTGCGTCTGTACATCTGGCCGTGTCTTCGGCTCTCACTCCGTTTCATTTTATGCTTACGATATTTCTTTGGCAGCTCATACTCCTCCTCCGACAAGCTGGACACATCCGAAAGAACACTGATTGGTGAGAAATGCTGATACTGGGAAAATCTCTCAATGACCTGCGGTCTCTGATAATCTGGAAAGAATGCAGTACGGGTTTTTTCGATTCAATATGTATTCTCCTACAGATAAGAAAGGCAACGCCATCTCTCTAAGTCAACATACATAAACATACATCAAGCACGCACACATACATAAGCGCAACTCCTCAAAAGCACACGCACACACACAAACACACAGCAAATACCTAGATTTCCTCTCAATATGCAAGGTCACACATATGGGCACAGTCAGACACAGAGACACGCACACGCACACACACTTATAGAAAAGTAGAACATGTTGCTTCACATTCGTATCAAGTGACCAATGCTTACTATATTGATTAGCCAGATTGGCGGAGAGCATATCCATCTTTTCGATATCTTTGCTCTTATCCTCCAGCTGTTGTATGCGGGCACGTAGTTTGAATTCCTCATCTTCCGAGGATATAATCATTTCGAACTCATCAACTATTTCGCCCTCCTCGCGATCCTCTTCGGCGCCATTTCCATTATCGAGAATTTCGGGCTCTGGGACTTGCGTGGCTTCCGCGGACTTCATTGCGCTGCAGCCATTCGATTGTTGATCTGCCGTGTAGCTCTGCAAGGCGCAGACAACCATTTTAAAGAACTTAACTAATTTTATTTATTTTGCGTAGATTCAACACTTTTACGGAAAAAAAGGAACGAACAAAGTACGTGTGTATGTACTTCACTTAGTGAAGAGGAAGAGCGAAATGCCAAAACAGAGATGTTATTTAACATAACAGAGCGCTGATTATTACATTCGAGAAACTATTGTTAACAGTGATAACACAAAATTTCTGCTATTAAGTTTTTAATTGGAGCATGAACTTTTGTAGGATTTTATAATGAAATTAAATTTTAATTGAAGACAAATACAACGATGGTATTGTATACACTAAATATTTAACAATTTTTATTATGATGTTACTAGATCAGAGAGCAGTGATGGAAAGATACGCAAAAAGTATTTAATACTAATGCCCTTCAGTATAACTATAAGTTAAGTATCTATTTTAAAGATTGACAAACTTTTTGGAGAATACATGTAGAATACATTAGTATTTATTTAATTTAGCTTAGAGTTGTCTCCATTTGACAGTGTTGCAATTGTACAGCCTGCGCCCTCTATATGTCAAAATGAAAACTACAAATTACAGTTCAATGTTGGATTTCACACTTCCGCTCTTTTCTACCCAACTCGCGGAGCAAAATGCAGCAAAAGGTATTTGTGGCTGTGAAAAATGTGCGAAATGTCGTCAACTAACAACAAATATGTTGCAATTATTTATATTTCTAGCGCAGAGAACCCGTGCAGGCCGTTCAAGTCTTCGGACGCAAGGTGTGTGTAAAACAGACTACATAAAACATTAAATTTATGGCACGTGTGCCAATAGCGCCAACCGACAAAAACCGACGCTCGTTGCTGAGGTTATGTTTGTGTGATGAATTCTGTGTTGTTAACTTACAAATAATAATAGTATTAACGAATCGTGCAATTTTATTACAGAAAACCGCCACTGCCGTCGCTTACTGCAAGCGTGGCAGCGGCCTCCTTAAGGTGAATGGACGCCCTCTGGACCAGATTGAACCCAAAGTGCTGCAATACAAATTGCAAGAGCCCCTCCTGTTGCTCGGCAAGGTGAGTCGCATCAAGCCAAAACGTATAACAATTTTGAAAGGTCATACAATGATGATAACAATTATCCCGAACTTGAAGACCAATGAGAATAAAATTGTTACTGATTGCGCCCTTAGTTAACATTCCCTAAATAAAAGTTTCAAGCAAAAATCTAATATTTCAAATCATCTTTGCTTTGCAGGAGAAGTTCGCTGGTGTTGACATCCGCGTGCGCGTAAGCGGTGGTGGTCATGTCGCCCAGATCTACGCCATCCGTCAGGCTATTTCCAAGGCCCTGGTTGCCTTCTATCAGAAATGTGAGTATCAACCGGAAAATGTGTGTGCGCCCCAATAAAGTTTTTGTTTGAAAGAAATTGTCTTTCATGCAAATGATTCAATGAGGCTAGAGAGAACACCATTATGAGCACATACCAACCAAGCTGCATGCATATTTCTAGCACAGATTGGGTGATGCAGCAAAAACATAGACTAAATTAAGTAATAGCCTTAATGGCTAAAGCACCTTCTACCAGATTTTTGTTGGAATCGTATGTCAGCCAGCGAAAGACAAGTGCAAGGGAGATTAACTGAATGTGGCAATCAAAGCGATCGATCTGCATTTAGCATTGCAATTGATACTTGGGGCTACATCGACACATATTGATATTTCAAAGATTTCGAAGAACTTCGTTAAAACAAATTCACTAATTTGATTTTTGTTTTTGTGTATGTTTGCAGACGTCGATGAAGCCTCAAAGAAGGAAATCAAGGACATTCTGGTCCAATACGACAGAACCCTACTGGTAGGCGATCCACGTCGCTGCGAACCCAAGAAGTTCGGCGGTCCAGGCGCCCGTGCCCGTTACCAGAAGTCGTACCGTTAAGCTTTCTGCTGCTTTTCAAATTGGATTAGATATTTTGTACAAGTTGAAAACATTTGCGCGTCTCTTCTCTTCAATACGAGGAGCATGTGAATAAAAACGGAATAATTAACTTTATTTTTTAAAAAGCGCATTTTTTGGGGGTTGACTTAAATTGTTCGGCTAATAAACAAGTTAAAGAGTGTTGATTATAGTTTTATTGCGATCTGCCAATTGTAATATGTAGTTAATTTATAGTACATTTTTATTAGATTTTCATGAAGATTGTGGATCTTCCTATTGTAGCTTAACATATAACTTAGGATTTATAAAAAAGTTTTAAGAGAATCTAATTCGATAAATATGATTTTTAAATAAATTTGAAAACGAAAAAAGAACGAACATCGATTACTATATGATTAGCAATACATCGTTTGCTTGTTATCGATATTACGCGCGCTTCTCACATCTCTGGCGTCAGCATCGCGATTCTGAAAAAAGCGGCGGCACAAGCGCCGTTATAACTTCGTATGGAGAGCTGAAACGAATTAAACGGCAAATTATTGTTATAGAATATACAAAATGTATGTGAAGAAGTTAGTGCTTGATGGCTTCAAGTCCTATGGCAGGCGCACTGAAATCGAAGGCTTCGATCGAGAGTTCACGGCCATTACAGGTCTAAACGGTTCAGGCAAATCAAATGTTCTGGACTCGATCTGTTTTGTGCTTGGCATCAGTAATTTGCAAAACGTAAATTAAATAAATAATAGTTACAGTATACAAGCAGCATGTTAACAATAATGTATTCATATCATAGGTGCGAGCATCTGCGCTACAAGACTTGGTCTATAAGAATGGACAAGCGGGTATAACCAAAGCAACGGTCACAATTGTGTTCGATAATACGAATGCACAGCAATGTCCGCCAGGATATGAGAAGTGTCGCGAGATATCGGTGACGCGTCAAGTGGTGGTCGGTGGCAAGAACAAGTTTCTGATCAATGGCAAGCTGGTGCAGAACAAAAAAGTTCAGGACTTTTTCTGCTCCATGCAGCTAAATGTCAACAATCCGAATTTTTTGATTATGCAGGGCAAAATTCAACAAGTGCTGAACATGAAGCCCAAGGAGGTAGGCAAAAATACTATTTGTGAATATGAAAAATTACATTTACATATCTCTTATAATACGTAGGTGCTTTCCATGGTCGAAGAAGCAGCCGGCACCAGCCTCTACAAGACGAAACGTGATGCCACCAAAACGCTTATTGAAAAGAAGGAGGGAAAGTTGCGGGAAACTTCGGCTCTGCTCGAGGAGGAAGTTTTGCCAAAGCTAGATAAGCTGCGCAAGGAACGCGCTGCCTATCAGGAGTATCAGAAAACGTGTCGCGACATTGAGTTCCTCACGCACATTCACATTTCGGCCAGATATCTGAAACTGTGCGATGCGCTTCAGTCTGTGGAGGCTAGTGAGCAGAAGATAGAGACCCGTATTGCCAATTGCCGCGACACTCACGCTAAGAATCTGGAGGAAGTGGAGCGCATTGAAACGAAGGTCCACGAAATACAACTTAAGATAGACACCGAAATGGGCGGGAGTCTAAAATCGCTAGAGGCCGAACTGACAGCTAAGCGAGCAACCGAGGCAACAGCCTCAGGCAGTCTAAAGGCTGCCAAAGGCACAATTGAGCAGGATCAGAAAAAAATTGCTATGGCCAGCAAAAACATTGCTGAAGATGAACGCGCGCTACTTAAGAAACAGGAAGCCATGTCACACGTTCAGGGCGAGTTTCAAAGCCTTAAAGATGCCGATGCAACGGACGCAAAGGCCTACGAGGATGCGCAGCGTAAATTTGAAGCCGTATCCCAGGGTCTGTCTACCAATGAAGATGGACAAGCTTGTACGCTACAGGAGCAGCTTATTGGTAAGTTTTCTATTCAATCAGTGTTTGTGTGTTATTTAATGTTAGACTTCCTCTGCAGCTGCCAAGCAACAGTTGAGCGAGGCACAGACTACGATAAAAACTTCTGAAATGGAGCTGCGTCACACGCGTAGCCTTCTCAATCAGAAGCAAGGCGAGACCCAGACGAACGACGCAGCCTATACCAAGGACAAGAAGCTGCTCGACCAGCTCGAAGTAGAGATTAAGAGCTTGGAGAGCCAGTTGCAGGGTTTCAACTATGAAGGCGGGGAGTTCGAACAGCTGAAGGAGCGCAGGCAACTATTGCATAATGAGGTGCGCGATCTGAAGCGAGATTTGGATCGTCGCAGTGGCTCTCGCTTTGAGCTGCAATACACCGATCCAGAACCAAATTTTCAACGGCATAAAGTACGCGGCATGGTGGGCAAACTATTTCGTGTTCGCGACATGCAGAACTCAATGGCTCTTATGATGGCAGCTGGAGGACACGTGAGTGACATAAGACTTAAATTCTCCACAACATGAGCTCTGATTTCTAACTTATATTTATAGCTCTATAGCTTTGTAACGGACGATGATGTCACTAGCAAGAAGATCTTACAAAGAGGAAATTTGCAGCGTCGTGTAACACTGATACCGATCAACAAGATCAAATCATATCCTCTGAATCCACAAGTTATCGCATACGCGAAATCTACTGTAAGATCATATTAAGATAACTCCATTAATGTTGTATTATATAGACTCTTGATTAAGATGTACAACGATGTTTATTTTTAGTTTTCTTTTAAGCTAGGTATATGATAGATATATAACTGGATATCCTTTAACTTGTTTGCTGTATTGTGCTTATATTCATATAATTATCTTAACTATACTTATAGTACGGAAGTGACAATGTGGAGTCTGCCATGTCGTTGATTGAATTCGACGAATACTTTGATCCGGTCATGAAGTTTGCATTTGGCGGCACGCTCATTTGCAAAGATTTGGATGTAGCCAAAGGAGTAAGCTCAATGTCTTGCCAATCTAAATGCTTACTTATAATTATTTCCCTTGTTAGCTAAGCTCAGATAAGAACATTGGAGCTCGCTGTGTTACACTAGAAGGTGATGTGGTGGACTCGAACGGCACCTTGTCTGGTGGCTCGGCACCCAAAGGTGCGAATATACTCCAGGAATTGAATTCCATAAGAAATTTGGAGAAGGAAGTTAAGCAAAAGATGAATGAGTTGACCCAGGTGGAGAAGCAATTGAAGTAAGTGCTGCCCATTACATTATCAGAAATGGTGCAATAATCTCTCGTTTTTTTAGTTCAATTGAGAGTGTAGCACACAAGTATAATAAGCTAAAAGAGGCACTGGAGCTGCGTCAGCACGAGCTCTCCATGTGCAAGAGCCGCTTGGCGCATACAGCATTCCAGCAGAATCAGGAGGAGATCGAGGAAATGAAGGAAAAAGTAAAAAGCTTGGAGCAACAAAATGCTGAAGCACGCGAAAAGCAAAAGAGCTCCCAGGCCAAAGTCAAGGAAGTCGAGGCCAAATTATCCGACGCGAAGGGCTATCGAGAACGCGAACTCAAGGCGGTCAGCAACGAAATGAAGTTGGCCAAGCAGCGGGCTGAAAAGTCGCGTGCGAATTGGAAAAAGCGTGAACAGGAATTCGAAACGTTGCAGCTGGAAATTACAGAACTGCAGAAGAGCATTGACCAAGCCAAGCAGCAACACCAAGAGATGGTGGACAATCTTGATAAGTACAAGGCGGAGTTGGATGCACTGCAGCAGAACAGCTCGTCGGCAGCCACAGAAGTCGCTGAGCTAGAGAGGGCAATTAAAAAGCAAAAGGATAGTCTGCATGCGCAGAATAAGGAAATGCGCACGCTTTTAGACAAAAAGGATAAAATGCTGAAGCACAATCAGGAGCTGCAACTGGAGATAAAGAAGAAGGAAAACGAAAAAAGTAAAATAAGTGGAGAGGCAGCGGATGCTAAGAAACGCATGGATGCGCTGGAGATTAAATACCCCTGGATACCTGAGGAGAAGAATTGCTTTGGTATGAAGAATACACGCTACGATTACAGCAAAGAGGATCCCGTAGAGGCGGGCAACAAGTTGGTGAAGATGCAAGAGAAAAAGGATAAAATGGAACGGACGCTCAATATGAATGCAATGCAGACACTGGAACGCGAGGAGGAGAACTACAATGAGACAGTGCGTCGGCGTCAGATCGTTGCGCTGGACAAAGAGAAGATTAAGAAGATCATTGTCAAGATGGATGAGGAGGAGCAGGATCAGGTCAGACACGCCTGGGAAGCTGTAACTAAGAACTTCAGCAGCATATTCAGTACACTGCTGCCGGGTGCCCAAGCTCTACTCAATCCCGTCAAGACAAACGGAATACTCAGTGGCCTCGAAATAAAGGTCGGTTTCAATGGAGTGTTCAAGGAGAGTTTGGGCGAGCTCTCAGGTGGTCAGAAGTCATTGGTGGCTCTATCGCTGGTGTTAGCCATGTTGAAGTTCTCCCCTGCTCCGCTCTATATTCTCGATGAGGTGGATGCTGCGCTGGACATGTCGCACACACAAAACATTGGCAGCATGCTGAAGCAACATTTCAGGGATTCACAGTTTCTCATCGTCTCCCTCAAAGATGGCCTCTTCAATCATGCCAACGTTCTGTTTCGCACTCAGTTTGTGGAGGGCGTCTCCACGATTACGCGAACTGTGGGCCGATCTGTTGCCAAGCGCTAAATATTTAAAAAAAATATATATATATTGTAATATCAATATATATTGTAATATCAATATATATTGTAATTTATAGATTTCTAACTATTATTTTGAAGAATGGCATTTCTCAATTTGTTTATAATTTACGTTTTTAAATTTTTCCTTAATAAGTAAGAAATATTTAAATTTAAGAATAATCTGTATTTTTGTAATTTTTTAAATATAATAATGATTAATTGTGACCTAAAACATGTGTTTTCTTACAAACACGACAATTTGGCGGGAAAATAATTTATTTTGAAAATTTTATTTAGGTTTCATCCGATGGAATTTGTGTAAAGTGTTGCATAAAGACAAATTAATTTTCATGTATTTCATATTTAAATTCTTAAGGAGCAAAACTAAAAACTAAACAATAATAAATTAATATTTAGTAAGGATTTTCGATTATGACAACGTTAAAAAATTTAAAATTCTAATTTTCTAACTTATGTTAAGTGAAACTGTAATTATTAAGTTTACATTAACAAAAACAAATATCTCTGTTATAACATTTAACAGTACAGCAGTAAATTTCCAATTGGGCTGACTGGCTGGCACAAACGTCAAATTGACGTTTGGTCACAGCGACAAAGAGAACGACACTGACAGTCGCTAGCTGGTAGGTTGCATGCGCACTGGCGAGACAGAGACAGAACGTTGGTGAGACCGTCAACGAGACGAACGCACAGCGCAAACCCATACAGTTACACACACAGACAGCAACAACACGCACACACACTCACACACATACAAGCACAGACAGTCAGCCAAGCGACAGAGTAGCGACTACGACAATGTTGGAGGAGTGCAGCTGTGAAAAATTAAACAAAAGTGCTAAATTTGATTGTTAAATAGTCAGCGGCAGAGGAAACAAAACGTTCAACATTTCCAACCAACGCAGATTCTTAAAGAAGCTCGTCAACATGGTAAGAAGGCAACGAGCGCTGCCTTGCGTTGGATTCACAATCAAAATCCCAATCAAATCGCTTGTCTGTGCCCAGTATCCAGTGTGCGCTAGTGTGTGTGTGCGAGAGTGTTAGTGTGTGTGACTGCGTGCGTCTATGGTACAAAATTCTATAAATTGTATACGCTGCTTGTCTAGCGGTCCGACAAGACAGGTGGGGGTCACCGTTGGGACTCTCGTAACCAGTAAATGATTTAGTTGCTGACATTCGTTAATCAATATTATGAAAATCACAATTGAGAGCCAGAAGCTGCAACACGGCTAAGACGTAATGCCGGCTTTAATGCCCTTATCTACAAGCGAAGGGCGTCTCAGATCTATCTAGAAGTTGCAGCACAGTTCCTTGGCTCAGTTCAATATATTTGTATGTGTCCTCTGATAATTCACAATGGTATTTGGAAATTAAATGTGAACAACAGTTAATTAACAAGAAAACAATCATTTCGGCATTCAATGTTGGTTCTGTTATTTAACAGAGTTGCCACACTGTTAATATAACAGCTGATGTAAATTTAGCTGTAGCAAGTTGAAGTAATTGCGAAATGCAGTACTTATTCAGCTGGTTAGACAACATTCTTCTCTTTGCTCTTCCAATGCATTCCAATTCTTCAATATTTTCAACATTTAATTCAAGGATCGAGTCACAAAGCCGCAGAAGAAGATGCTCATCACATTGCTGCGCGAGACGAAATACATGGAGGGCAAGAAGGAGAAGGAATGGTACTGGGAGAAGATCCAAGCGGCGCTTAACACCATCGGACCCAAGAAGACCATCATTCAATGGAAGAAGGTGTGTATCTCTGCCATTCAAGTTAGCGTTTGCCTTATCCGTCTCTCTTGTAGTGCTGGCGCGATATGCGTTTGACAACCAGAAAGAAATTGGCGGAGCTGAAGCGTTGCCAGCTGTCGGGTGGGTCGCCGCCACCGGGCATAGAGCTGAATCAGGAGGATAACGATATAATTGACATTGTGGGCACTGAGTACTTTTACGAGGAAATGAACGGCGAGCTCAAGCCGGAGAACTTTATGACTGGATTCGACTACGTGCCGGAGCACTTTTGCGATGCCATACTGACGGCTGCTGCTGGCCAGCAGCAGCAGCACATGCAACACCCAAAGGACCCTCAGTCGCACAGCGCTCAACAGCCGCAAGATCATCATACCAATGATGGCGAAACTAACGATGCGCCAGGCTCCTCGAACGGTGGCTCCTACCAGGGACAGAACGTGACTCAGCTGCAGTCGCATAATGGGGGCGGAGGTGGAGAGCATAGCAATGGCAATAGCACGCAGCCGCATCCTGGCATGCCGCAACATCCGGCGTTTCATGGTGGCCTGCATCCGCATTTGTTACGGCGACAGCACACAAATGCGTCGCTGCAGCGGGAGTCTCCGTTTGAGGAGAAGCTGCTGCAGTTCATGCAAGATGCGTTTCCCAAAAAGAGCAAAAAGCGCAAGCAACGGGATCCCGATAAGCTATTCCTCCTCTCGCTCTACGAGGAGATCAAGCGTGTGCCAGAGGACATACGCCTCGATGTAAAGTCTGAGCTGATGCAAATCTTAAAAAAGTACCAAAAGAAGTCGCCAGTCAAGGCGGAGAAGTCCACAGCCTCAACCTCCTCAGCTGCCAAGCAGAGCAGCAACAGTAGCAGCAGCTCTGCGTCAGCCCATCTCTCACACAGCATGTATCAGCTGCAAAAGAAGTACGAGAAGGGCGACAAGGAAGCATCGCCGCAGTCACAGGTGGATCCGGTGCCATTGCATGCCCCGCAGCAGATGCCACTGTTTCAGCTGCAGAAAAAATACGAAGAGAGCGCCGAGAAGGTGCATCAGCAGCAGAGTGAGCAGCGCAAGCTGGAGGCTGCCCATCAGCAGCAGCACGGCGCCCATCAGCAGCCACCACCGCCACCCAATGAGCAGCATTTGCATCATCCTCAGATGGCGCACAATATCATGTTCCCGCTGGCGCAGCTGCGCAGCGAACAGCCGCCGACGCAGCATCATGCTCACAATCCGCACCAGCAGCAGCAGCAGCAACAGCATCCCCACCAGCAACAACAGCAGCAGCAGCAGCAGGCACAGCAGCATCATCCGCCAACGATCTTTGGCAGCGCTGCTAGCGCCGCGGCGATGAGCACGGACCGCCCAGCGATGTCCTACGAGAATGTCGGGTGAATGTTGAGCCGTCTGTGGGAAGCCACTTGTGGAGCGCGCCCTTCGACGGTGTCCCCCACGACGGCAGACGCGCACAACTGTTAGCACCAAGTAATTAGCAACTAGCTACTGTTTGTTACCCATCCGGTCCAGCTCATAGCGCCGGATCAGCTCGACTGGTAGAGATTGGTCGAGCGCCCTCGCCACTAAAAGCCGGAACTGTGTGCAAAATTGTTTCAAACATTAGGTTTTTACTCGTACTTCTAATCCTTACGCTAGCTTACTACGTAGCCATGAAATGATCTGCATGTGAATGCCTTTGGTACGAACCCAATGGCTAATCATCAATAACTATGTATACACAAATATACATAATACTAGAATTAATAGAATTACATATTGAAATTGTGACTTGATTTTCAATTACAACAAATGAATTTAATATATGTATACAAACTATGAATTCAGCAACTTTAAATGTGTGTTATGAATATGATTGAATGTGAATATGTTGTGTTATGAATAAGAATGAATGTGAATATGAATATGATATATACTGACATCAATCAGTCAGTCTGGCAGTCAGTCAATCAGGCTTTAGTCCGTCAGGATTGGGTCACATATATGTATATATTGTATTACTCTATTATCCATTATGCTCAAACTATGAGTCTTTGATGCTTCGAATTAATTGTTAAATTTTTGATAATTATATAAAATGATACAAATGAATTCAAAGAATAATTAAGAAAGTAATCGATTTGTAGTGAAAGCATAAGGGATGTCTTTAGTCTTCTTTTGATTATGTTTTTATGACGATTGTCTAAGATTGTCTATGGGAAATTATTCTAAATTGTGTTATTAGACTTACATAGGATAGAGCTATATGTCATATCATGTCATATCATGCCATATCATATATCATATTACAGACTAAAATATCTATGCAGTAGACTAGAACTCAGACAAAGAGGAACTTTGTTCTTGTCTAAATGGTTAGATTAATCATCTATGGAGGTCAACATATTAGAATATAGAATATAGAATTCAAGTTCAATCTGAATTACCAGAGCAATAATGGAGCTAATTAAATGTCAAGACCATCTCTCAGGGCTCTTATAACTAACCTTAGATTATCAATTGCCGGCTTACTTTATTGTTTATTGGGTGTACTATAGAAATATATATCTATATTAAATAGAGCATATATATTATATAAATATATATATATTTATATTTAATAGAGTTTTTGCAGCACTAAATCATTTTTGTACAGTTTGTTTACGTTTTTTCAGGCTATCGCATACAACGAGCTGTTGAAAGAGAGAGACTTTTTTGTTATTCAAAATTGAAACTCATTGTTTACCTTTCTAACAAATCACACGCTTCTTCTGCACCTTAGGAGATAAGATTGTGTTTGGAAATGTGTGATTTGGTTGGACGATAAAAGATTTGTCGAAACCCAGACCCAGACCCAGACGATATGTTAACACCGAGAATTGATCTACGCGCGTCGGCATACGCGAGCGGCGCACGATATGACGATCGCTAATCTGCCCGGGGCCGTGTACTATAAACGAGATTACGATCGTCGCGATAAACGGAGCTCAGAGCTGCAGCATAAAGCTGCTCGATGTGCACTTATCAGTTGCGTGGGATGTGCGGATGGGCTTGTGGGTGGCTTCAGCTACAAAGTGCCTAGGACGAGACACTTCTGTTGGCAGAGAGCTAGAGTGAGTTGCAGTTGGAAAGCCTTACCGAACGGATGCCACACGGAACAAAATAGCCCAAGATCGGAACTATACAAAAGTTATTTTTTATCGAGTCATCTGTAAAAATAACAAATCACAATGGCAGGTAAGATCACGCTTGAAGTCACTTCAAGTTCAGCCCTCAGCCAAAGACACAACATGTGGATCTGGGCTTTCGCGATCTGGTTCAAGATCCAACTGCTATAACCACAAGCTGCCTTCGCAACGACAGCAATTGCAGTTCGGTTCACATTTCATTTCATTTCATGTTTTGTGTCTGATCGCGGCAAGTGCCGCTCTATGTTGATGGCTCTGCCACCTATGAAAGGTGTCTCTTTGTGTTCATCTGTAATTAACGTATTATCACTCTGTCCCATTGCAGTCGAGGCGCGCACTGTGCTCTGGTACATGACGTTCATAGGATTCATTGTCAACTATATGCTGCGTATCAATTTGAATATCACAATTGTCGACATGATCGCCGGCGTCAACGGGCGCACCACTTTAGCACCACCAACTAATGCCTCCGTCAACCTGTCGACCACTAATACATCTGATTTCCTGGCCTTTGTCTCACCTGTCGAGTCCACTTCGAATGTCACCGATCGAGAGGAGCGATATTCGCTGGAGCGTCAATTTCTAGATTGGGCAAAAGTGAGTGTGTCTGCTCGAGTGGGTAGCTGATTGAGTGGTTGCGTGATGCACAAGTGACGCATATGAAAATATTTTGTCTGCAGTTGGTGTGATTAAGTTCATTAAGTAGTTTTATTTATATTAATCAAACTTTGATGGGAATTCGGGAAATTGTCTGACTGCCTAGCTGCGTCATCGGACAGCTAACACAGAAGCCGAAAGCTGAAAGAGCTGCAACTGCTTAGTGCATCGAGTGTAAGACATAACTCAGAGAACGGCTCAAAAACTGACTTGGAGTGGGTGATAGTGCCTCGCCACCTATACAGAGGCAAGTGAACTCTTCTCAGCTCTTCTTCAGTTGTCTCTCTGACATCCGTTCTTCTCCACGAAGTATTACTTCTCAAATAATATAAATAGATTAAGAAGTTTTCCACAGTTTCATGCCATACTTCAGCTTGCGCTGGGTTAGGGTATTTTATAGTCGGAAGCACAATACATTTATTGTATTATTTTAATATTTTGATTCCACCTGCTTGCAGATTGACTACGAAAGACATGGCTTCCATTGGAACGAAAAGGAGCAGAGCAATTTGTTGGGCTCCTTCTTTTGGGTGCATTGGCTGCTACAGCTGCCAGGCGGTATTCTGGCCCGTAAATATGGCACAAAGCTCGTTTTCGGACTGTCCAATGGCGTTGGGGTATTTTGTTGTTTCCTTATACCGATTTTCTCCTACTGGAGCTATGGCGCTCTGCTCTGGCTGCGAGTATTTCAGGGGCTTGTTACTGTAAGTACCATAGATATTTACATATATATATATTCTCTTTCCACATCAAATTGAGGGTTACTTGCTTCAGTTTATGCACAGTCTCTACATTTTTCGTACCCTTTTTCAGGGTTTGGCTTGGCCCTCGATGCATGTGATGACGGCCAAATGGATTCCGCCCAATGAGCGCAGTAAATTCGTGAGCGCCTATTTGGGCAGCTCTGTGGGCGTGGCAATGTTCTATCCCATTTTCGGTTATGTTATCGCTTGGACGTCCTGGGAATGGGTTTACTACATTTGCGGTGTATTCGGGATGCTGTGGTTTGTTGCCTGGCAATTCCTGGTCTTTGACAGTCCCGCCCAGCATCCACGTATAGCTCAATCGGAACGGCGCTACATTGAGAAGTCGCTGGGCGCCTCGGTGCACAGCAGCTCGCCTGGGCCAACGCCCTGGCGGGAGATAGCTACCTCGAGACCAGTCTGGATGAATGTGGTGGCTCAATGGGGCGGCATCTGGGGCTTGTTTACGCTGATGACACATGGACCAACATACTTCCGCCTGATCCATCACTGGGACATACGTGCAGTAAGCTATTCCGTGCCAGCTGAGAGTTTTGTTATTAATAAAGCTTTGCTTATTACGTTTTGCAGACGGGCTTCCTCTCGGGCATGCCACATCTGATGCGCATGATCTTCGCTTACGTCTTTTCCATGTTCGCCGACTACCTGCTACGCACCGATCGACTGAGTCGCACCAATGTACGCAAGCTGGCGACAGGAGTTTGTAAGTTAAAATTCAAATTCATATCAATTTCAGGGTTGCTGTACTATACAAAAATATAATGGTCTAATTGCATAGTTCAAATACATCCACGCACTATAGGTTTTTACCTTTTCAAGAGCAGCAATTGCATCGACTGCACACATAAACGTTTAAATACGTACTGTCGTATGTTAGTGTGTGTCGCGATACATACTTGCGTACATATTTCCGTAGAAATACTTCACACACAAAAGGGAAGAAATGTACTGCATACACATACACACAGGCATTTAAGAGAGCACTGTGAACTTGTGATTTTGAAGCTCGAGATACCCTTTTAAAAATAATCATATATAAATACATACATACTTGCATAAGTACATACTTACGTAGTAATTACGCAATACTACGCACACAGAAGAGAAGTAAAGTACCGGAGTATACTACATACACATAAATACAGATATTTAAGAGAGCACTGAGAATAAGCAAGATCTTTCTAGGCTTGAAAGCTCTCTCATTGAGAGCGTAAGATAATAAGGAATAAGAGAAAAAAGAAAGCTAAAATAGTGGTGGGAGCTGGTGCAGAGAGATAGTTTGTTAAGAACAAATTTATTCTCGATGTTTTCTGTTTGCTTCCAGGCTGTGGCATAAAGGGCTTGGTGGTGCTGGCTCTGGCTTTCTTTGGCTATAATGCAACAGCTGCCATTGTATTGGTAGCTGTGGCGACAATGTTCCATGGCGCCGTCTCCTCTGGCCCGCTTGCCTCAATGGTGGATCTGTCGCCCAACTATGCGGGCATTGTGCTCGGAGTGAGTGGCATGATCGGTGGCATGCCTGGCTTCATATCGCCCTTCATTGTGGGCATATTAACCCAGGGCAATGTAAGTACTACACACTGTAATCTTGAGCAAGGCATTCACTCATAAAGACTTTATTACAGCAAACCATCGAGGCCTGGAAGAATGTGTTCATGCTAACTGCCGCTATGCTGATTGGCAGCGGCGTCATCTACGTGCTCTTCTCCGAGTCCACGCTGCAGTCCTGGAACAGTGGCTGCCACGCTCTACCCGAGGCGGGGCTTAAGGAATTGCATACGTTCGAGGAGAAGGTGCCCTTGCAGAGCACTGCAATAGATGAGGCCAATGCAGCCAAGGAGTCAGTCAAGAGCAGCAAATGATAGCCAACTGCGTGTCACTTTTATTGCCATAAGTCCATTTTAGTTATAGCACTGGGCCAAAGGCAAAGCAAAGTGTTATCAGATTCTATTTGCAAGCAGATTCTGATTAAATTTAAACTAACTATAAATAACACTTAAACACACATACATATGTGCGTGCATGTGTGTATGTGTGCGTGTATATGTATATTCAGTCTGCACACGAGCTTTCTATAAAGCGCTGTGTGCTGATCTTCGTCAATAAAATGTGGAAGCTGAATGTAAATAAACACAACATAATTTAGTGTCCCCTTAAATGCAATGTTAACGGAAGCTGCGAATTTGTTTTACGATCGTTGAGTAAAACAAGTAACAGAACTTAAGTCGGCAGTGCTCGACCAACAGATACTCTGCGGCTTGGATTGAAATCAAAGTATATTATAAATGGGATTACTTTAGCATAAAACTAATTAGAATAAAACGAAATGTAATATATTCATAATTTGTCTTTCAAGTTATGCTTGAAAATTAATAAAAATATCGATTCTTATCGATTTTAAGAAAATTAAACGAAATATAAAATTATTACAGATTTCTAGTGGGTAAGGGAAACATATAAGTAATATATATAGAAATATATATTTGGTCTTCAGCTTAATCCCCTGCCTGTTACGCAATAGCTCACAATACAATATTATACTCCAAAATCGCAGTGGCAAATTTGGAGGGTAAAATTACGTAGATATAAAAAAATCTGCTAATTCACTTGCTTTGTATAGAAAGATAAGCAAAAGCAAATATTTTCAAGGCAGTTCCCAAGGCAGATAACACAGTGCAACAAAATGTGGGCTTCGAATGGTGAATCTGAAAAAATACTGAATTAGCTGAATGGATATAAGTTTATAATTGGGTTTTACAAAATGTTTTATGATTCATATTGATTTTAATACTCAAAAACTTGAGTGCATCTTCTTTGCTAAAGGTTTGACTTTATTAACTGCATTCTAGTATAACTCTCGAATACTAATATTAGTTGAAATGCGATATTTAAAAGGGAGAAGCAGTTAGCTATTGAGGATAGTAGGTATATTTAGATATACGCCAATCATCTTATTCTAAAACTATTTAGCTCAACATTTTTAAAATTCTTAAGTTATGTAATATATATAAATTGACTTAAATACTTATACAAATATAAAGCAGTCCCTTAAATTTGGCTCAATCCATTAATGGCTTGATTACATATTTTTGATATGAAAAATAACCTACATATATCTAAAGTCATTGACTGTTTTTACTGCATCGAAATTTCGCTGTCTGAAGACCCCAATGAACTGTCGAATTTGCAGTTAATAATTGTAATTTAAATCAAAACTGATTGAAGCGTAAAATCGTTTTTGCCCTTTGCCAAATACGCCGGAGTCGGATACATATTACGTTACGCATTGCTCGCTCTCATTACTCATACCACGTGGTGTACAATTGGATGCGAATGCCAGGCTGGGCCAGTGGCCCATCGAATCGCCCTTTTGGCAGGGGCAATGGCAATGGCAATCGTTGTTTTCTGATTCGAAGTCATCTTTAGCTTTTTGCTTGGCATTCAGTTCATTGGCGTCCATTTCGGATTGCACTCGAGGGAGTCATAGATGCTACTTCGACCACTCACTAGGCCAGTTCATCCGTTTTTGGCTCTCAACTAATCCAGTCAATGTCTTGTCACTTGATCCAACGAGCCAACTGATAGAGATTAATTGGTTTCCCGTTACACGTTTTGCTTGCCGCATTCGTAATGGCACGGCGCACGAAGGTGCCAAATGCCAGTCGAATAATGCGATTATATAACACCATCAAGCGACTCGTTTAGAGGGCGAAATTCAAACTGAAAAAAATTGAAAAGCAACTCAAAAGAATTGTAACTGTAACTGTAACTGTATTTGCAAACTCCCGTTGCCGCACTCTCATAATCTGATCATCTTTAATTTTCCATTCTGTTATTTATTCATATACGAAATTATCGCTTATTTAATCGCATATTCGACTGCCAAGCGAGCTTTTTGCGCAAATCCTCATTGAATGTGAAGTGTGCTTACCGTTAGCTGCTCTCCCCTTCTCGCTCTCTCTTTTTTGGCAGAGTACTTCCTTGCTTTTGCTTTACCATTACGTTTATCAGTCGACGTGCTTTCGAGCCAATTCTTAAGAGACTCACGGTTGCTGCCATTGCCTGCTGTCATTGCTGTAAACAACAGTTATCTGCAGGGCTTGCAAACAAAGGGCCAAACAAAGAGCGCCGCTAAGCGCAACTTCACAGAGGCACAGCACAATAACAGGCAGCTATGTACATTAAATAAAAAAAATGCGAAAACAAAAAATATCGCGTTCGTATAATAAATGTAGCACGGATTTGCGAAATTCCGCCGTTGTCAAAGTCGGGGTTTGCCAAGCAGGAAGTAAATTCAATCGTAAACAACGCAATCAAAAATTCATTCAAACGAAGCATTAACGCTTATTCCGTTTAGCCAGCCCCCTATCAAGCCGCTGGTGTTGGGGTGGGGTGGGTGTCTAAGGGGGTGTGGCCCGGGATTGGGCTCGTTTGTCTCGCGCTGTCTCATTGTCAAAATGCAACAGGGCGGGTGCTCGAAAAGCCAAAAAGCGTGCAGTTGGCGAGGCGGAGTTTATACCCAGCTTTAAATGAGACAAGTAAACGGGTATACTAGAAGTGATTGGGAAAATGTTGTTGAAACTTACGATTTTAATTATGTGTACAAAATTCGGAACCTACGGCATATACTAGAGTAAGCATTTGTTTAAAATGCGTAACATAAGAATTTCGTAACTGTTACGTGATTTACTCAGTTGCATTTACGTTTTTATTTTGATTAACGTTCGTTAAAAAATCAACAGCATAAGCTGAGCTGCACTGAAGAGAGGCGCTCTTCATTGAGAGTGCAAATACGATTGACTTATTAGTTGACGATAGTGAGCAGTGTAACAGAAAAAAAAGAGAGAGGCAAATCAAAAGAAAACGTCAAGCGAAACGAAAGTAGAGCAGCAAAAGTAAATTAGCCTCAAAAGAGTATTAATATGAAGGATCATGCTTGTGATGCTATGCATTAATGCATAACATATTCTGAAACAAAAGTATAGATAAATATTTTTTAAAACAAGACAATACACAAACAATGAACCATTCCTTACAATTGGTATTTAATCTGAATCATAATATATATAGACATATGTTCATTTTAAAAGGGTATGGTACGGTCTATCAATCAGCAACATTATTTTTTTTTAATTTTCAATGTTGCCAAGTTTTTTTTGCGCCACTTAGGCAGGTACATTTGTTATGTGGGCACGAGCCAGTCCCAGCGTCTGCTTGTGAGTATTTTGTTTGTATTTTTTTAGTTCCGGACACGTCTCTTCATAATTTTCCATTTCCATTCAAACGCCACGTTAAATGAAACCACGAGGAGCGACGAATAAATTTGTGCACTGTACGCCCGCTGAATACGCATGAAAATGTGGGCAAAAGCGTGGGGGGCGTTGTACGGTTACCTGTTTGCATGAGAAATTCAGGGACACGTGTGCCCATGTGTGTGAGTGTGTAACAATGGTGTATAAGTATCTGTGGCAATAAATTTAATTTGCCCTGCAAAAACATCGCAAATCCATTTTTTATGCTATAAATTCCCTGGTTCCCATGTGCATTGGGCTTGCAGCGGATTAATGGATGTGCGAACATGTACATAAGGACGAAGGTATGCAAATAAGACAACGGCACGCCGTTTTGTAACCTGTTTAATATAGTCAGTGTTTTGGTATTTTTTACTGTTCGCCTGTATGTCGGGCTATAGTATATAGTCTGTCTATTGTCTGTGTTTAATTACTCTTTCTTAAGCCCGGAAGTGCACTTCAAAGTACTGTGTTTATTAACAAATTGTGATGACCCGCATTTGGTGCTTAGTCGCACTACTATTTTCGTGAACCCAGCTGTATATATTTAATAGATAGCATATTTGTACTTGAGTATAATTATCTACATTAACTCACAAATTGAAGGTTGCTCATAAACAAATTTTACGCTCTTAATTTATTTCGTACGTTCGCTCTCTGCCTCTCTCTTTCTTTCTTGTCTTTTCTATATCTATCGTCTTACACATTCCAGTATCGATCTCTCTCTCTTTTTTTTTGCACTCACATATCCCAGTATTAAGCTCTTACTTTCTCTCTTTGTCTATCTATAAAAATTCTAAGTAAATCTAAGCTTAAAAAAAACATAAAATAATTTTGTAAGATGAAAGAATTAGCTATAAATTCAGATCTTTAATCAGTTGAGCTTTCGTTGATTATGGCATTCTTTCTGAGTTTGGTTATGTTCCGAAATGCGAACTTATTTATTAACATCAAATATTCGAGAGCTGTGGGCAGCATCTATAATCTGCAATTTACACAGCAACTGAACAACTGTCTTGATGTCCTAATGGAACAGGAGCTGTTCCTCCATCTGCCATAATGAGAACGCCCACTCAATCATAAATATTATTAATAATGTGTGGGGTCTGAGTTTCTGTGGGCTCTAGCTGTGGCTTGCACTGTTTGCTTTGCTCTTTGCACTGCGCCCAGCCTGGGGGCCAACTTTAGTTTGGCTCAACTAAAGTTCAGCGGCCAAAAAGTTTGCGCCACGGCCAACTTTGAGCTGGGGTTGAAGTTAGTTGAGAACTACCTTGGGCAAACATATCCAAAAACTAACATAGCATATATATATTAGGTATATATACTTATATATGTGAGAATTAGATATATATATATAAATGCATGCTCAAATGTCTCTGTCTAACTCATATTCTCGCATCTTAAATATGAAAACCACTTTGCACGTTTGCCTTAGCAGCGGCTGCCAAATTAAAGTTGTCACATTAAGCAAATGAACCAGACTCTATGGCTCTGTGTGTGTGTGTGTGTGCCAGTTAAAAGCATCCTCATTTTAATCTTGAAGAAATAACTTTGGCGTTGGCGATGATAAATCATAAACAGCCCCCGAATGCTGACTGAGGCCACGCTGAGTTCGTTTCGAACAGGACATACCGTACGGTACGTGGTCGCCCGGACCCAGCAACAATATGTGAATATGTTATTTGTTTTGGGAATTGTGAAAATCTCAACAGGTCCCCGCACTTTGCATATTATTTTTAATACGAGCTCAACAGCAAGTCGTGCGCATTCAGCCAACAACGTCTCCAGCATCAGCTCCAACTCCAACTCCAACTCCTGCTCCTGCTCCATCTCCATCTCCATATC